ATATTGTAATCGAATGTTGTAATAAGAATTTTCATATAAGTGTTTGTTATTTGATGCCTGTTCTGTATATTTTAAGGTAGTACCTATACAGGCATAAGAAAATTAGTCCCGAAATGTATCCATGAAGAGTGTTAACAGGTACAACTTCAAATCTTTAATTCAAAATTGAACAGAAATCAGAAGTGATACAATAATTATGACATAAGGACTAGGACTAGATATTCTTTATAAATCAACCTCACTGTAGTCATTTCTATTTCTTACCATGTTTATTTCTCTCCCAATGTTTATTAGCGATGAATATCAACTTATCGATATACTTGGAGCTTCTTGGATCCGCAACAATCTGAAAAAAAATTTTAATTAATTTCCATTTGGATTTGAACTAAAATATACAGTTTATTTCATAATTGAATGGTGATTCTTGGATGATTAAAAAAAATTCTTCATTTCAACATAGGTCCTCTACCTCTCTGAAACAGTATTGGCCCTATTTCTCAATTTTTATACCTGCAAACCATACATAAAAATACAATTTTTCCATAGTAATGGTTTTCCTAATTTTCATCAGTGGCATCCCTGTTAACATGTCCTGCCATATTTTTTTCCATTCCTTTTTCCAAATGAATGAAATTTTTGTAATAGCCCTCTACCTTCTCATGAAAATGTTCCCTCCGTCTCCTGCAAGTATACATGCCTTCAGTTCTTTTTTTCATTGACTCGCTTTTTATTGGAAACTTTCTGGATTACTCCTTATTGCTTCACAGGAAACTATTAGGCGTTTTCGCAAGTTTTCCTCAGTTCTATACCAGAGTCTAAAAATGTCCTCATAATACTAGATAAACCTCAAAAACCGTTCATCGGACGAAAAAAGGCAGGATACCATTTTTATGGGAATATAGAGAGCCCTTACAAAAATAATATTTGTTCGGAAAAAGACAGTTGCGTGTAATGACTTTGATGAAAAATATGACAGGGCATGTTAAGAGGGACGCCACTGATGAACATTAAGAATACTTTTAGCATGGAAAACATGTATTTTTATGTGTACTCCATATGTACCAAAATTGAAAAAGCCAAAGCGTTTTCAGAAATATTGAGAAAGACATTATTTTTTTATTAAATTTCAATATTCTGTATCTTAGGAAAAAAGCGATTGCGGACCTACCTTCATAGATTCTTTTTAAATCATCCAAGGAATCAGTTATGAAACAATCTGTATATAATGAATGATTTCAACAAAGAGACGATTCCTAATGGAGTTATATGAAAAAATAAACTTGGGTATAAGTAAAAAAAAATGAATTACCTTTTTCACCTTCGAAAACACCTTTTCACAACTTTTTTCCATTTTATAACAAATTCCGTAGACACTACACCTACACAATGTTATCACGATCTGAACTGAAGACAAATTTTGAAATAGTTGAGTGTTTCATGCAAATTAAATAAATTCATGTACTAATCTGGGATATTCCAGGAAACCCCATTCTAATGAATTAAAACAGGTAATTTTTCATCCCAGGTATCTCATATCTCCGGTCAGATTATGAAGGTGTAGGTACAATAAATAGATGTAATTCGTATTATGGTGAAAGTAAATGTGCAATGTACATCGATAATTTAGCAGGGAACACTAGAAATAAACACACCCCGCTGAGTACTTCTCAGAGTTTCCAAAAGATAGATGAATTACACAGGGTGTTTCATGACTGAATGCTGATCCTAAAGGCCAATAACCCCCATACGAACATAAGAGACTCTCAAACTGTTTAGAAAAATTTAACATGTTGATCTCTTGCCAAAATGGATTCCGTGAAAAAAATCCACAGGAACCGCAACATTTGCAACATTGCAAAATATATCGCAATCTATTACATTGAAAAGTTAAAAAAGAAGCCTCGGAGAATTCCTGTTTTCACCTTTCCTTTTCATTTACNTGTAGCAAGATAATAAAGCCCGTTTGGTTTGACCAACATATTTCTTGTCACAATCGTCGCAGCTTATTTCGTAAATCACATACTTTTCTTTTTCCAATGTCTTGTCTTTCGGACTGCTCAACACTTATTGGAGTAAACGTGCAGTTTTCGAAGCCACTCTTATATTAAATTTTTTGAATGATATTCCCTGAGTTTTTGTTTTCTTATTAATTTATCCACCATGTTTGATCTATACCCGTTACTTTCAGCCTCCTCCCAGACAACTTTTATATTAAAACTAATAACAATTCCCAAAGAAAAGAAAAAAATTATCAAGAGATTGAAGGAGAAAAATGTTTTTTATGTGAAAGCAGACAAAGGCATTAACGTTGTGATCATGAACAAACCTGATGATTATCACGATAGGAGTTTGGAAGTATTTAATCCCACAGTACCTACAACACAGATTAAAATACAGATGCGAAAGCTAGGCCTCCCGCCAGAATCTAGTTTTTTAATCTGTGCCCATAATATAAGGTCTGCCAAATATCCACAAGCCAGGCAACTCGGTGCGTTCAATTGTGTCAGCCATAGGTTCCCCTACGTACAAGATTGCCAAATGGTTAGCGAAACAGTTTGAAACCCTATCGATTCCGCAACCCAGCTCAAGTGTTAAGAACTCACATGAGTTCATCGCGAAGATCAAAGATGTAAGCTTACGAGAAGGAGTATCCTTTGACGTATCTTCGTTATTTCCAAGTGTCAACATACAAAAACATGAATATTTGTGAAAGGAGTGGTGAAGTAGTCGAAGAGTACATCCGGCTTACCAAAATTTGCATAGAGCAAAATTGCTTCCAGTTCACTAACTGTTTTCATGGGCAACATGAGGGTACGGCAATGGGAAACCTGTTTGGATAAGAACAGGAGTTGAGTAGAGGATGTTGTATTTGCCTTAACAACAGATTTGCGAGTATAAAATTCACGTAAGAAATTGAAAATAAGGAAGAACTACTATTCTTGGATGTACCAGTTATTGAAATTGTCGATAAGAGCCTAGAATACGAGGACTTTCACATAGATCCCTGACAGTTCACATAATTGTCCAAAACAAAAAATGGTAGAACTACAATTTCTTGTCCATAGACTGCTCACATTTCGCTTGAGAAGAGAAAGATATGAGATTGAGAAGGGAGATGGCTGAAAATAATGGGTATCCATCGAACATGGTGGATAAATCAATTAGAAAAGAAAAATTTAGGGAGTGTCTTCGTAATGCCACGAATTTTCGAAAAGAGAAAGATTCAAAATTCATAGTGAGGAGCTTTCAAAACTGCACGTATACTTCAACAAGTGTTGAGCAGTCCGGAAGACAAGACAATGGAGAAAGAAAAGTCTGGGATTCACGAAATAAGCTGCGAGAATTGTGACAAGAAATATGTTGGTCAAACCAAACGGGCTTTATTATCTTACTACAAGGAGAACGTTTCGCATGTATGGTTTCATAGACCGGATATATCTACTGCCGCTCAACATGATATATAGAACGACCATAGAATAAGTGAGAAATGTTTAAAAATTTTGAGATCCGTAAATGGTTTTTGGATGGCTTCGAAAGCTTGGGAATCGAAAAGTACGGAATGAGTTATATCAATAGCGACAAAGGTCCTATTTCCAACAGCCCTTTGTTTGGTTTTATACATAACATAACAAATTACAGGTACTGAAAACAGGTAGTTCAGCATAGGATCAATGACAGGTAGCAGTTAGGTAGGTAATACTAACAGGTAGTTGTTAGGCCACTAGCTACAGAAACACTAACATAGTAGTAAAATTAAGTCGTTATAATCTCTTGTGGAATGTTGNGTTCTCTGTTTGCATCCCTTCTGTCCTCCGGACATAGCAAACGGTAGAAAGGGAAAGTGACATTACAAGATGAAAATGGTTGGAATACATTTGTGAATCTATGGTAGGTCAAAGCCTGGCAGAGAAGATACTTTCATTAAAAGTTAAAATTAGTTATTTTTCAAAAGGTAAATAATATATATCATAAGTAATAATTTATTTATTCAGTTATATACATAATTCACATGATTCCTAATCAGACAAAATCATTACATTATCACAGAATGTTCAACAAGTTGAAACAATTTCTCGAAATAGAATACTCATTGAATGTTTTTTATGAGTAAGATTCGTTTCCAAATTTCAAACTATCTGGTAAAAATTTTAATAATAATGTTAACATCACACATATTGTATCTTATAAAATGAGATGTGGATATAAATAATCCAGTTTTGTGAAATAACATAAACATTCCTCAAATTTGTTTCATTCATTCTCTATGAATGTTTTTGAATTTCTTTACCTCTTATTTCTTTTGTTTATTAAGTAAGTCATGTTTACATCACCTCATCTCTTCAACCTCTCGGATTGATTCGAATATGTCAATACTAGTTTCAAGACATTTTTCTTCAGGTACTTTCAAAACTCAGAAACTCCATCATACTACAGAAATATTAAACCATATTTGGTGATTTTTTCATTGGTAATAATTGTCCGCTAAAATTAATCTTCCCCAGCTTTTCAAGCAGTTCAAAACTGAGGTTAGTTCTTCAGTCCACTCAACAAACTCTTTTTTGGTGTCAGCAAAGAAAAAATACTTTTCCATTATGAAATTTTGTTTTTTTGTCAATGGCTCGTAGTTGTTATCGTTGAGTGTAATCGACCTTCCAGTTTTGAGTATAAAGGTTCTTTTTCTAGAGAAATTCTTTGGATTCTTCTCGAGAGGTATCATACAATATTCGAGATTTATTGTACATATTGGAGGTTTCTCGTTCTGTTTTTCCTGAGGATAATTATATATGTTCAATAGATTACTTTCCAGAACGCACCATTTCCTTTCCCAAAAAATCTCCTCCCTTTGGTCAGAAAATCTGCCCAATGTCAAAAAACCAGAATGACAAAAGTTCAACTTCAAATTAGCAACCACTGAAAGCCTCACTTCATTTTTAAGGCACGAGTCATTTGGCAAATGTGTAATGAATATAGAATTGTCTCTCATTTGGTCCTTGGTAATCGATAACTCTCCACAACATGTAAATGATGTACTGAGAATTGATGATTCTTGCATTTCGAGTGTATTTACATTTTCGTAGTAGATCGTAAACATTGGACAACATGTCTTCCTTTTCTGAAAAAAAAAAAACATCTTTGAATTTTTATATATGTTTTGCAGTCATCAGTGAGGTTGTATAGTCATTTCTAAAACTAGACTCAGGCCTCTCGTCCACTGGGAGTGAAAAGCTGCGATAAGATGCGAATTCAGTTCATCAGAATTCGCACGACAACGCACGAAGGATCCAAACATATGGATCAGTAGGGAACTGCGTCCACTTGGCCAATATCGTTCGTCAGTTTTCGTCCGACTAGGTGCGAATTGCGAACCGATCCCGTTCTTCCGGGATTTGATTGCGATTTAGTGCGAAAATAGTTACAATATTGTATTGAAATGTGTCCTTTTTCATTCGATAATAAGAAAAGTGGTGGTCATCGTTGGTTTGAAGAACATTCCATAAATGAGAAAATTCACTGAACTCTTTTTTTTTACGTAAATGGGTTTCACTCATATTTCCCGCCTGCGTCGATATCGCCTGTGAAAAGTAATAATTTCAAAGCGAAAAATTCTTCATCACAATAATCAAAAAACTACGAATACTGAGCAATGGACTATGTGCTTCGCACGATTTCGTACGAACGGTGGCGGCGTTCGCATGAATTCGCTCCCAGTGGACGAAATGCATTAACTTATGAGTTCAATAATATCGATATCGTTTCACGTTTTGGTTCCGCAATGAATCACCGCATATTTTGATGAATATTAAAATCTAACTTAGTGGCTTCTGGAGCTTAATGATGATAACAATATTCAGAAATCAGTATCTCACAATCAAAATAAAGAAGAAACAGAACACATGCCAGGTTTATAAACATAGGGTAATTTTAAAAAACATAAAAAATAACACAGTCCGATCCAAACAATCGTTCAACCCCATTATCGAGTATAAAACTAATGAAATGAATAAAAACACTTTTGTCTGAATACCATTGGTAAATTTTATTTATACGTCCGGTTTCGGGTTTGACCCCATTATCGAGTATAAAACTGAAATCTGAATTTTGAAATATCGATTTTATTAGAATTTTCAGGTATGCTGCAAGGACAGGTATTTGAGAGTCATAAATTCAAGAGAGGAGACCTACATAAATCAAGTTGCTCGTTTAGGGGTATATGTTTCTGGTTTTTAATTGATTTGTTTATTTCCATGGCTTCCAACAGATTCATTTTTCTCCCTTTATTACATATATGTAGTATTTTGGGGTTATCTTCATTTATCTTGTGGTTTGATTCTTGAAGATGTTCGTACATTGCAGTTTTTTTGTCCAAACAGACGTGTTCACGCAGTCTTATTTCAAAATTTATACCGGTTTGGCCTGTATGTACCTACTGCAGAGCATTCGCCACACTCTATTCTATATATACCTAATTTTTTCATTATATCCCGTTTGGGTTCTACCTAAATTATTATTACTTGTGAAAGCTGTTGAAATTTTGTATTTAGAGAAATAATTTTGAATATTTTTCTGAAAGTTTACCTGAGTAATTGATGCTACTGTACTTGACTATATTGTGTTCTCCACAGTTTGGGTATAATTCACTCATAAGTGTTTTGTGAGTTTTACCTGATATTATTTTTTCTATTACGGAAATTGGTACCTAATTATTTTCATTTAAAGTAAAAGTATTGCGAAAGTTCTGTGTATCATTGACCTAAGCGCGGATAACTTATGTGAGAGCGGACTGAAAGAGTCAAAGGGGTATAGTCTGTGAACGGGTTTTTCCGGTAGATATTGAATTGAAAACCATTATTAACTCTTGAAATATTCAAATCTAAGAATTTAAGCCCTTGATTTGTTCGATTTATACTGTGAACTTAATTTTGTTATGCAGACTATTGAGAAAGTTTAAAAATTGATTAATTTGTATGTTTGAACTCTTCTCCACAAAGAAGAACATCCAGCCAAATTCGTGGTATCATATATAGATGACCCAACCAGTAAGTTATCTACATTTTTGAATTCAAGATTCAGAGCCCTCACAAAATCCAATCCTTCAAACACAGTTCTAATTTCAGTAAACCTAGCTGACAAACTATCAAATCTGAATATCAAAAATAATATCATACTAGTATTGTTCGACGTAAAAAACATGTTTCCTAACATCATAACAAACTATTGTCTTCCCCTCGTGAAATACATATTAGATAGGAGTCATACAAATCCATATATAACTACCGAACTTTGCAATCTCCTTAGTACAAGACATCTGCTCTTATCGCCAAACCACTTTGTTCACATATTTTGTTTTAAATGTACTCTAATCTTTATACGTTGTGAATGGAGTTATTATTATTATTATTATACAGCGTTTTTCCTCGAAGCAGTTCTGATATGCACTTTTTGGCATGTCCTTGAGCTCTCTCAGCGTTTCGGTTTTCATCCCCCTTGCGAAACAAGATCTCTGCTCTTATCGCCAAACCACTTTGTTCACATATTTTGTTTTAAATGTACTCTAATCTGTATACGTTGTGAATGGAGTTATTATTATTATTATTATAATCAATCGTCGCAAAACGTCGTCTCTTCATGGATTTGTTAATCTTTGTGACAGGAAAAATTGCCGGGGCCAAATCTGGTGAATACGGTGGCTGAGGCATAATTTCGGTGTTGTTTTTGGCTAAAAATTGCGAAATCGTGATGCTACTGTCATGAATTATTTTTCCACAATACTGGACGTTTTCTTCGTAATGCTTCTCGCAGGCGGCAATAACACTCCTTATTGACTGTACGACCATGTGGTAAGAACTACTGATGCATTACGCAAATGGTAATCTAAGAAAACAGTGAGCAAAGAATTGATATTTGATCGAACTTGACTTGCTTTTTTTGGTCTTGGCTCCCCTGGGCACTTTCATTGGGACGGTTAGACTTTGGTTTCCAAAGCATAACCATATTCCAATGCTTCGTCACCAATTATGAAACTTTTGAGCAAATCCAGATCCCAGTTGACGTCATCCAAAAATTCCTGGGCGATGCTCATACCACGGTTTTTTTTTGGTTAAAATTCAGCAACTTCGCAGCCATATGCTTTATGTCCAAAATTTCTGAAAAAATTACATGGCATGAGCCAACCGGTATGCCGATATCCTCAGCAACTTCTCTGATAGTGATTCGACGATTTTCCATAAGAATTTTCTTCACTATCTCAATATTTTCAACGGTTGTTGATGTACTGGGTCGTCCAGGGGGAGCGTCATCATTCACATCTTCTAGACCTGTAAAAAGCTTGTACCACTTGTTAACATTTTTCTGACTCAGAGTATAATCACCATATGCCAGTATGAACTTCTTAAGATTTTTGAGCACTTTATTTTGTTTTTTACACAAAATTTGATGCAAATTCTTTGATCCATTTTTGCGATAGCAGAAAATTGTCGAACACGCAAAACATTTCTAACATTTGTGCCTCTCACCAACAAACTAAACTTGTTATACAGCTAAAACTGTGAACATATGTCCAAGACGAGTGTACCAACATATGAAAATAAAAAATTCCTAATCGAATGTACGTAGCCGTCGAAATACAGTCACCTTATTATGTGAACAGATCACTACAAATCCAAAATCGAACAGAAATCCATGGATCATAATAATTATTTCATACGAACAAGAAACACAACTGTGAGATATAAGTTAGTGAAGATAGAAAAAGAGAGAGTTACAGGGCATACATTACTGTAGGGACAGGGGAGAGAGGTGCGATATAACTTAAAATGACGCGGCCAACTGCGACCCACTGACGTTCAGTGTTTGTCAAATTCAACTTTTTTTTTTGAAAAAAAATGAAAAAGTGCATTTCTAGATCGAATTTGACAAAAAGTTATTTGAAAAAGTTGTGTCTACGGCAATTTT